ATTATACATAAAAAATTAATCGTATTACTGATTAGAAGAACGGCTCGTTTATTATGTCGATTTTACTTAAATTTTAAATCGATGCTGTTTAAAGTTATTAAAAACTATAATTTTTAATCGGAAAACTTTTAAGTTTCAACTTTCACTTTGAAAGTTATTTGACATGACGAAAGTTACTTATAGTCTAGGTGCCAGGCGACATACTATATTACTCATACTTAACAGGCTACAATTTTCAGCATAGCTTCATAAAAATTCGACCCCCAAATATCTCTTGGGATACTTTCTGTACCGGGTGCTTTTTCTCATCAGCTTATCCAAAATTGCTCATTTTGAAGTGATATGCAAAATTTATTAATAAGGTATTGCTATGTAATGAATACAAAAGTAGACTTCGTGAAATATCCGAAAAAAATCTTGTGAGACAAAAATTTTGGTTCCATAAGCCAGTCCACCAAACTAAACATGCCAAAAAACAACTTCAAAACATTTAGTAATAACAAGCTGATTTTCTCTGTATCGTTCAAAAATACCGTAAAAAATACTATTTTTACATTGTCCGAGAAAATATACTCGCCGATTTTTACGTCTGACAGTGAAAATCGACTTTTAGACGAGTCTGTGGAAATTTATTAATAACTTTTTTTTATGATTTTTAGTTTTTAAATGAAGAGTACAACTTATAGAATGAATTGTCCGACAAAAAAATAAGGCCGTTTATGTAAAAATTAAAAAAATATACAGCCGAGATTACTTTTTTGTAAATTGTGTGAGCATTAAAATTGTAGATACATCCTGCTTATAAATAACAAGCTTATTTTTTTTAAGCTATTTTATAAAATCTCATGGTATACAAATGTAGAATTGACGGACAAAAATCTTTTTCCGATTTTCCAGTTGGACACGTTTCGTCGTACCCTTCGCTGAAATTGTGTATATAAGTTTTGTGCATATAAATTAAAGTATGTGGAATTTCTCATTGAAGACTGGTGCAACCACGAATTTGCTGAGATATGTGAAGGAAAAATATTAAAGTTGAATTATGGTAATTGTTACGTGTATAAAGTTTTCAACAATCAAATAAAGAGATCTGTAGATTATAATTCATCTTATACACATGAAGAAGCAGATACAAAGATTGTACAATATATTTGCCAGATGAACACGAAGTAGTTTGTTGTACCGATTCTTTCACACCTATAATTATGTTATTCAATATGGAATTTTAAAAATCTAATGTGGACGTAATTATAGACATGTCAACCAACAAAAAAAGGAATATTTTAATATCAATGATATTTATCAAAATTATGGAGAGCAAATGACACGAGCTCTAACAGTATGTCATGTATTTACTGGCAATGATTTTAACCCCTGCATTTTATAGAAAAGGAAAGGAAAAACCACTTGATATTTTGAAGAAAAACGAGAGGTACCAGGTAGCCTTTCTGGATATTTTAAGAATCCCTCTATCTGAAATGAATACTTCAAACTTAACATTTAAAGTCATTGAAGAAATTATTTGTAAAGTTTATTCCTTAAAAAGTAAAGACGTCAACATATGGCGAGTTGAGCTCTTCGAGAAGGCTTTTAAAAACAAAAATCACGATGAAATGGTAATAAAAGCTCAGCTAAGAGGTCTCGACGCATCAAGTATGCCTCCATCTAAAGAAGAGCTATTGCAACAAATTAAAAGAACAATTTATATGTGCAATGTGTGGTGCAATGCACAATTAAGATCACCGACAAATTTAAAACCTGAAAATTGTGGATGGACTCTGATAGAAGAAAAATATTACCACCATTGGTTTGATGGCCCTCAGTGTTCTACATTTGATGATTATATCTTTAAATATATTAGGTAATAATATTTTTATTGCTTGTCATTTATGTTTGAAATATAGTACTTTTAAAAAATCGTAATCTATTATTATTTCAGATACGGAAAGTAAAAATGAAGAGAACGATGAGGACATTATTAGTTCAAGTGATGAAGAGTTAAATAACAGTTCTGATGAATGACAAAAAAAGGTTTAATTATTTAATTATTTTTTATTGTATATATATATATATGTATATATATATATATATATATATATATATATATATATATATATATATATATATATATACAGACAGTTAAAGGTAACCGGGAATGACCCAATATTAAGGAAGCAATAAAAAACGGGTGCTTCAAAGTGAGTGTCTTTTATTAAAAGTCAAGCTTTCGCCACATAATTTTGGGCTTCATAATGGAAAAATATTCTTTACAATCATCGTAATTAAAGATGTTATTTTTAATATTACCTTAACGTTGACACTATTTCTTAGTGTAAATTATTGTAGATGTGGAACTACACATTGTTTTCCAAACACAAACCAAAACGCATCTCCTACATAGAGGAAGATGGCAAACAAAGCTTAAATTAAATAAAAAAATTTGTTATATTTTGATCACCATGTGGCCGGCATTACTTTTGACAAGACAATTGTTAATTAAGTCAAAAATAATGCCGGCCACATGGTGATTAAAATATAACAAATTTAATTATTTAATTTAAGCTTTGTTTGCCATCTTCCTCTAAGTAGGAGATGCGTTTTGGTTTGTGTTTGGAAAACAATGTGTAGTTCCACATTTACAATAATTTACACTAAGAAATAGTGTCAACGTTAAGGTAATATTAAAAATAACATCTTTAATTACGATGATTGTAAAGAATGTTTTTCCATTACAGCAAGTTCTGATGAAGCCCAAAATTATGTGGCGAAAGCTTGACTTTTAATAAAAGACACTCACTTTGAAGCACCCGTTTTTTATTGCTTCCTTAGTATTGGGTCGTTCCCGGTTACCTTCAACTATCTGTTGTTTACCAGTAGCCCGTTACTGTCCTCGAATTTTATATATACATATATATATATATATATATATATATATATATATATATATATATATATATAATATATATATATATATTATATATATATAATTATAATATTTAGACATTTTTTTTAATATTCATACAAAATATAATACTTAAATACCAGTAATCCTGGTTATACGCATAATTCTCAATAACGCGATTTAATAAAAGCGAATTTATGCATTTCACGCGCGAAAAATAACTGATTTTTTTCTTCCACACCATTTGATTTGTCCGCCAATAGTATTAAACATTAAATAATTATCTAAAAAATGAATCTTGTACTTAGTCCGATGGTTATTAATAAAATTTAAGCTTTGCGTAATACCTCATTAAATAAATAAAAAATTACCATTTTTGTTGGACTGCAATTTGGGTACATTATATTTGTCGGACACATATTCCATTTCGGACAGAACAATCGGCGAGTGTATTTTGTCGGACTATGTAAAAATAGTATTTTTCACGTTATTTTTGAACAATACAGAAAAAATCAGCTTGTTATTACTAAATTTTTTGAAGTTTTTTTTTGGCATGTTTAGTTTGGTGGACTCTCCTAAGAAACCAAAATTTTTGTCGGACAAGATTTCTTTCGGATATTTTACGAAGTTGACTTTTATATTCATTAGACAGCAATACGTTATTAATAAATTTGACACGCCACTTTAAAATGACCACTTTTGGATAAGCTGGAGAGAAAAGCACCCGGTACAGAAAGTATCCCAAGAGATATTTAGGGGTCGAGGTCTTATAAAGCTATCCTGAAAAATCAAATTTTCTTACACGTTTATAAGTATTACATGATATAACTTAAAGGTAAAGTATTTGTCCATGAGGTCCATAACTTGACGTAAGATTATTTTGAGTGAAAGATATTGTCCTAATACATAAGTCATTATTAGATAAAAAAATTATTAGATAAAAATTAAGTATTTTATTGATGCAGATATCTTTAGGAAGTTTACTAAAAATTTACATTGATTGGTTTTGTTTTGACTATTAAATTGTTAGACGCAAGTAGTACTTCCTCATTTATTTATATACAAACTTTAAATTAGATCTACATAAAAATGAGAATATTAAACTGATAAAATATTTTAACTACAAATTAATCAAAAATAGTTTCAACAAATTCTATGTAATAAATTAAGCTATAAATAAAGAATAGCAGAAATTTATAAAAAAATTCTTATCAATTCAAATAAAAGGTTAATGTTAAATGAATAAAGTGGAATACTAACAAACAAGAATAATATAACAAAATTATTGAGGTCTGAGTTCATACTTTTGTATACTAAATTGCTTAGAAGGTTATAGAATGTAAAAGTACATAAAAAAGTACCTCAAAGATAAACATAAAAGTACCGAGAATGAAACCGAAACTTTACCATCACCTAGATTACTTATAAGCTTTAAAATTAAGTGGACTATTCAAAATATAATTCTATATCTAATAGGGCAAAACCTAAACAAAGTTTTAATGAAAAAAAAATACTTACAATGTATCTATAAGTATACAGTTATCTACGTATAATAACGTAGTAAGAATAAAGAAGTAACCTGGATGGAGAATAAAAAATTATCGTAAGATTATAATAGTCCACGTTTGCGTTGTGATACATCGAAAAAAATTGACTTCTTTTTGAAGGGTCAATTGACAAAAAACAGGACATAGTAGATTTGTTAAAAAAATTAGGAAAAAAAGTACAAAAAAAGATGAAACAATAAAAAACATTAAAACTTAATGGAAAAGTAGAGAACGATTATTATCAATTTTAACTCATTACGTGTTCTATATTTAATTATTTTTTTGAAATTTTTATATTTAAAATATATCTAACCATGACATATATGTACGTACCTTAAAAGTAGGTTATTTTTGGGTTACCAATGAATCATCATATTTGATAGAAGATTCTAGCTACAATTAATATTAACCATTTTTATCCCCTCCTCCAGCATAGTCCAACCTAAAGTTCATTCGATCGCATAACTATGGGAAACTAGATCTGATTAAAAATTAAAGCACCATGAGAATAAAAACCGATACACAATTACCCCTACTCATCATTTAGTGGTGTCCGCCGTCAGTCCATTGCGGTTTTCCAATTACCATAGCGGGAGACAAGACGTGGATGAAATTAGTAGAGTTTCAAAAACTTTTGTCTTTAATAACTACCAAGTTTAATAAAAAAATGAAGTTGCGGTTTCCAGTGAAGTTAGCAATAGGGTCGGTTTTCGCCTTATTTTTTATCGTTTTGGTAGGATTTATACTTTTTCCCAAAATGATAAAATCAAAAGTTAAATCGGTAAGATTTTTATTTAATTTTCTAAATTGTTAATAAAAAATAATTATTTATGTTGTTATACCTTTCGTGCTATTTATTCAGGGATTCTCAAAAAAATATATGTTTATACATTATGTACTAAAATTGTTGATTTTTTTTGAAAATTTCAAGAACACCTACATGATATTAGTTATTTTGTTATTGCTGACATTATTATAATTATTTATATACAGATCCTGTAAATTGATAGTTTATCGAAAGAGTGAAAATGTATTGTTAAAAGAAATAAATTAAGTATAAACCTACTACACATCCTTACGTTTTAAAATGACAATATAAAAATAAAAATGCATACAAACTAAATTTTCTTTTATACAGTGAATGTATACCTACCTTGACCGTGTATAAAAATTAATCGGACGTGAAGTCGACATGATGTGCACTTTGGATTGGAAATTTTTGAGGATTTATTATTTTTACTGGGAATTAACCACAGTTTTAGTTTAAAAGATGTTTATTTTGACGTTTCAATTTTCACTTCGATAATCGTACTCTAAATAAAAGTTTAAAAATACTAAAATTTCTTCTAACAATTTAATTTTATCTGACCCATTAATATTGACAATTAAGATATGTATTATACATTTTAAAGTAGATGACATTAAACGGACATTGACAATATTTTGAGTTATGTTCTTAGGACGACTTTATTATAAAACGATTACTTGAAATCAACTTAAATCAAGAATATCCGTCAGAAAAATCATAGCATGTGATTTGTTTTTTCATCAGTCTTTCGATTAAACTATATGTTTATTTTTATGTGTTTACATATTAAATTCTCTCATTTTGATATACGATTGAGGTTTACTTATTCTAACATTTAAAGGTGTTCATGTTGCACTAACGCAAAATTATTCGCATTTACAAAATATTTTATATATAGCATTTTTCATATAAAAAAGCTTGCACATCATTCAAGATTTACGTCTTCAGAACCCCACAGCGTTGCCAAAACATCAGAATAGTTAGTAAGTAAGAAATTTTTAAAATGTCCCCTATTTGTCAAACTATTATATTAACAGTAAATACACTTAGTTTTAAGACTACTGCAACACATTAAAATATATAGGAAAACATTTTAATACAAGATTATATATTCTAAATATTAAACTTACCTCTTGTAGGGCTTTAATAGTAAAAACATCCCGCCATTATTTCTTGTTTAAAATAATCTATCTTATATGAAAGCGTATCAGCTTTCTACAGACTATTTATTTGTTTTAGCATATCACATTCACAATACACAACAATAATTAGTTTTTAAAGCTATTTAGTATAGTATAAATTTAATATGTATTTATAAATACAATTTATTAATATATATTATATTGTGATCAAATTCTGTAGGAAATCAAAACATAAACAAAGTTCCTACTCTAAAAAAGCGGCAACACTTAATACACATTTACCACCCGCTGAATTGTCAAAAAAAATTGAAGTATTTTTGTATCAGTTGCGTACAATTGTCTAATATATTTAATTAAAATTATTAATTTGTGGAATATTAGACTTAAAGAGTTATTTCATAAAATTTATATTAGTAATATTAACAAATGTTTTTGATTATTTAATCAATATAATTCTAAAATTTCCCATATAATGATGATTATATTTTTCTGATTATTCCACCATGTTGACGCCTATGCAAGATCGAGCAGTTCCTTATGGGTTTCGTATTCTGCCCTATTAAGAAAAAACTCCGTTCTCCCCTATAGCGAGTTTTGAGAAAAACGCAATTAAAGATTTTTGTTTAGTCCCTTGTGCTTTTGGTACAATAATAACATAAAATCACTTAGGGTAGAGTGTGTAGCATCGGAGTTAACTTTTTTCAAAAAAAAAAATTACAAAATTATCATATGGACATTGGTTATGCGACATACGGGATAACAAAGCAAAGAATTATGTCAAGTTTACTTAGCTAAAACCACGTATTATCCAAATTTGTCTTAAGCTTGGTTTTAACTATGTAATTATTATAAAATTTATATTACTACAGCGAGAGGCAAAACATTTAAACATTTTAATAATATTTTTTTGAACATTTGTTGAATAAAACATAAGTATTTACGAAAAACAATTATTTAAAAATACAAAATGAAAATTATTATTAATCGGAAGTTGGCAATTCTTCCAAAATTGATGGTGGTTCGCCGGTATAATTTGACCTAAGTTTTTTAATATTTGTTCTCTTAGCAATCCCAGAAGCTTTCGTCACACGTGTGGGGTTCTTTATCCTAGATTTTAACACTGTGGCCTGCAAAAAGTACATTTCTATCAACTCCTCGCTATCGTCAATCTTAACGTTTAAAATCTTGCTTTCTCTCTTCACAATTACTTTAACAATTTGTGATAGGTAAATACGTGACTCTGTTTTCTTTCATTTTGACTGTGATGTTGTTTTTCCAGATAAGAAAATCAGAAACCCCCATTTCTTTGACCACCACACAATTCAAATTACACGTTTTAAGGGCCTCGACGAAATCATGATAATCATAAACTTTCTCCTTTTTTTTTAACGATAGTTACACTTGGTGGTGGACACTATCGGCGAACATAAATTTATGGCCCGGTTCATATTAATTTGTAGTTATATCCTGAGCTACAGTTTTAGTGGAATTTTTTATATATATTAAAAAAGAAAAAATGCCCAATTTTTGATCTGTGAGGAACAGTTGTCTACCCAGAATACACAATGCTGAATAAATAAAAAATAAATAAGAAATGAATAAAAAGTACTAATAATCCCTTCCTTACTTCTACCTGATGTTGCTTTATGCTATAGGGCAGCAAACGGTTTATTTTTCCCAATGTTCCCAATGGTACAAAACTTTTGTTATGCACCACTATTCTTTGGGTAAATAAAACCTTTTTGAACATATTAATGCGAGGAAGCATTATTACTTTTTCGAGATCTGCTAGAACTCTTACCGTACGTGGTTCAGAAACTGCTTCACAATCTTGTCTATATAATTCTCTAGACCGGTTTGCTCTTTTAATGTGTATTTCCCATTTCTGGCATACTTCCCAATTTTTTTCTAAAGTTGTATCAATTTTATGTGAATTGTTGTGTAATTGAAATCCTTCCCAAAGCTCACATTCCTCGTGATCCAATTTTGTAAATGAGATGTTTTTACTTTTAAGTACCTTTCCATAAACTTCGTATGAACATTTTAAAACCTCGCATATCGTTTTATCCTACGTTAAAAACCCGTATCTGCTAAGCATATACCAGGTTTTTACTACGAAGCACTAAATGCCAGGTTTACGCCAAGTATAATAGTCATTTTTGGCGTTTACGGGGAAAGGTTTACGGGGTTTTTGTCGATTATCCTCAAACAGATCTGTTATGTATGTCTTCTTTTTCTCAGTGTATTTGCCATTTCCTTTATTTTCTTATGCATGTTAAAGCTATCATACTGTTTAGCATATGCCTCTATTTCACTGCATTGATAAGCAAGCCAGGAGGATTTTGCCTCTTTTATTTTCTTTCCTATCAATCTCTGTAGTTCCTTGTATTTTGCCTTACTCCTGCCTTTATGTTTCCTTCTTTCCTCCATTAGATCTAAGATTTCTGAAGTCAATAATCTCTGTTTTTTTCTTATTTTTGTCTGCAGTAGCTTTTCTCCTGTCTTTATTAAATTTTCCTGTACCATGTTCCATTTGTCATTAACATCTGTTGTTTTTATCACGTCTTGTTTGATTTTCTTTAAGTTATCATTTATTTCTTGTTTTAAGCTCTGACGTATAGGTTTTTCTTTTATCTTTAAGACATCAAACCGTGGTATATTTGTTTGTTTTTGGATCTTCTTTAATTTTATCTGCATTACGCCTACTATTGGATTATGGTCTGAATTTATGTCAGCCCCGGTGTATGTTCTCAGAGACTTTATAGCGTTTTTATATCTAGATTTTATTAAAATGTTTATTATTTCTAATCAGTGATTTCCAAATATAAAGTCTTCTTTTAGGTAATTTAAAATTTGTATTCATTATTACCATCCCCTCGCTTTGGCAGAATTCTACAAGTCTGTCCCCTCTTTTATTTCTTTCTCCCAAGCCAAATTTCATAGGACGCATACTGATAAAGTACGTGAAGGACTTTCTTCTTTTCTGTTCAACGTATTCAGAAAACGCGCCATTAACCTCGGAGTACGGAGGTTATTTGACTTACTTAGATTACGATGATAGGTCAAGCGTGACCCATTCTCATTTGATTTATAAGGGTGTTTTAAATAGTTTAATAGTTTTGTTGCAATCCAAAATAGTCTTTGATTTAAACTTTTGGTCTTTACCAAAAATTTCATGTTTATTGTGTAAGGTCGATAATAATACGACAAATTTGTTAGGCTTGGTTACATATCAGAATACATCAAGGAACTATTCAAAGACAATAGAACAGAACAGATGGAGATAGAAGGAGAACAGGATATGGTTTTGAAGATATTAAAAGAGGAAATTAAAATGTCATTAAAAAACAGCAAAACTGGCATAGCATTAGGTCCAGACAAAATCCCTATAGAAATCTCAAAATGCATAAATGATGAAACCTTAGACATTATAGTAGACTTATTTAACTCAGTATACAAAACAGGACACATACCGAAACAATGATTACTCTCCACCTTTTGTGCTATCCCTAAAAATACAAAAGCTAAATATTGCAGTGAATACAGAACAATATCACTAATAAGTCACATTCTGAAATTATTCATAAAAATAATACATGGTCGTATAAATAAAAAACTGGAAGAAGGAATAGATGATAGTCAGTTTGGGTTCAGAAACGGACTAGGAACCAGAGAAGTGTTATTTGCTTGTAATGTGTTAGCTCAAAGATGCATGGATATGAATGTTGATGTGCATGTCTGTTACGTTGATTTTGGAAAAGCATTTGACAAAGTAAGACATAAAAAATTAGTCCAAATTCTAAAGACACAAAACGTAAACCACTGGGACTT